CAGGGAAGGCACAGGGTCCAGGAGGGACCCCTGCCTCAAGCTGGGAGCTCAGAGGGGGCTTCCTGGGAAGGCTATCTGCGGGGAGGTGATACTTGTCCAAGCTGGATTTTAGAAGAATTTGGAGGAGTCTGTCACAAGAAGAGGCTTTGGGGCAGAGAACTTCGCAACAATGTAAGCTCTGTGGGGTACGGATTTTTGTCTAGTTTAATTACCCAGTGCCTACAGCAGTGCTTGGTACGTAGTAGGTGCTCAATAACCATGTCCTGAAAGGAATAAAGAAAAAAGAAAGAATAAATGAGAGAATTAATGACAGAACAGCCTAAGGTGCATTCTGCAAATTGAAAGTGCAGTAGTTTCAGGTGGCTATATCTTAGGTGGGTGGGGTTGGGCTGGCGGAGTGGTCTTATCTTGTCCTATTGTTGGTTGTGTTTGGTTCTTATCTCCCCGTGGGGCCCAGAGCTACTTTGGGGATGGCGTTCTTTTTTCCTCTTTTGGTTCCTCACAGCTCCTGGTGCTACAATGAATGTTAGTATTCAACATACAAGTATTGAACCTGTACTGGGTGTTGGCTGGGGGCACACTGATGACTCAGATCTTGTTCCTCCCCTCCCAGTCTAGTGGGGAAGACAGACAGTAAACAACTGGCTGTAACAATAGGCAGAATGAATGCAGAGCTACTATGAAAATTCGAGCAAAATGAGACAAAGTAGAGGGATGAGTTCAGTTCAGGGAGCAAACCAAGAGGTTTTCGAGGAGGAGGTAGCATTGAAGGGGAGGTTAGCCTCAAAGAATGGTGGAAAAAAGAGGTTGGGGCAGGAGGCAGAACAGGCAGAAAAACACCCATGCTCAAAGATATGGTCCAGGAAAGGTGGGGGCTGGGAGATCCAGTTGGGAAAGTTACACTGGGGCCTCAAAAATCTGTTCTTGGATGTTAGGACGCAGCTCTAATCTGACCTCATTTTGGACAATTGTGCCAGCAGCCACACACCTAGTCGGGCTGAGTGGTCCTTTGTCCCAGGAACTCATAAGCTCTCTTCTCGTCAGCAGGCTGGGGACCTAAGACATCCTTCCTGCTCTCTCTGCCCGGGTCTTCCCACTGTCTCTTTCAGCTTCACTACAAGACCCACCGGGAGCCTCTTTCTATGTCAAGCCTCAGGGACAGGATGCCTGGCACAGGTTCCTCAAATACCATCCCTCTCTGCTTGCCACAGGAGTCTCCGAGTGGTACAAACAGTTAACTGAAAGGTTGGCAGTTCGGGTCCACCCAGAGATGACTTGAATGAAAGGCCTTGCAATCTACTTCTGAAAAATCAGCCATTGAAAACACTATGAAAATAAGCAAATATATAGAAAACAAAAAGATTATTGGTGGTTACTGGAGGTGGGAGGGAGGGGGAAAGGTGGAGTTTTTGCTTAGAGGGCACTGAGTTTATGTTAAGGGTGGTAGAATAATTTGGAAAAAGATAGAAAGGATGGTTGCACAACTTGAGGAATGTAATCAATGTCACTGAATTGTACATATAGAAATTGTTCAGATGGCAGATATTTTGTTATATATATTTTCACCACAATAAGGAAAAAGAAAAGAAAATCCTATGGAGAACAATTCTGCTCTGATACACATGGGGACGTCAAGAGTCGGAACCAACTTGATCGCAAGGGTTTGGTTTTTTCTGCTTGCCACACATGCTCTGAAAGGAGGCACTCCCTTTTCCAAGGAAGTCTTGGCATCATGGAACATCAGGCTCTCAAGAGAATTAAAGATCTTCTAAAACCTCTTTCCCATTTGACAGATGAGGAAACTGAGACCAGAATAGATATGCTTATGTTCCAGCCTAACCCTCGCAGGGCACAGCCAACCTGGTAGAGACCCTCAACGTCTTAGGGCTGGAGAAGGGCAGTGTTTTCCTCTAGCCAGGACCTAACTGATACTCTAATTTGTGGGCCTTGCAGACGCAAGATGAGTCAGGCTTCTTGTGAGTCAGTCTGTTGACAAGCCATCCCTGGCCATTTCTAAACCAAAACCAAACGAAACCCACTGCCATCGGTGGATTCTAGCCCATCAAAAAGAGAAGGAAGTCCAGGGGAGGGGTATGAGCAGGCCAATTAAATTAGTGAAGGCTCTAAGGTACCTTAAGTTAGCCCTATGAAATTAAACCGCCTAGGGGAAAAAATAACTGTAATTATTTCCTTCTCTCGCCTATCGATGTGTTTCAATTCCCTCTCAACCTCCATGCCTTCCTCGTTCACAAAACAAGCTTTAAACTCGGGTGCTAGGACACAGACACACATAAGCTAGAGCTCAGTGTCTCCGTTTTTCTGGTCCTTTCCGCTGTGTGCTGTGCGTCCGGGCAGAGAACTGAGCGAGTCCAGAGGCGTCCGCAGGGCCTGGCTATATTCTAATTCAGGCAGGCTATCACACTGAGTAGAACATTATTCCAAAAATGCACCCAAAGTCTCCTTCCTGAACCAATGCAGATCCGTTTGCTGCGGGGCATTTCTTTTAAAAGCCCCTTTTTTCTCTTTTACACATCAAAATAAGCAAACTTTAATGGTAGAGAATTATTATCTACTTTGTCGAAATCTAGTCTTGAGTTTTCCTGCTGGAAACGTGTTTTCCCCAGGACACTGACCTATCCTTTAATTGTTTGGTGTGAGGCATGTTAGGGGGAGGGGCGTTACTTGTTTATTGGAACAGCGCAGTAAAAAAAAAAAAAAAAAAAAAAAAAATCAACCTAGGCTAACAGTTTCAAGGCTCCCCTAAAGATGTATCCAAACAACCAGCCAATCAGCGCTTACACAGCTTTTTCTGCTTGACTCTTTTAAAGGGACAGTCCTTTATCGCATTTAAAGAGAACCGCGCTCTAAAAGCAGTTTGAAAATGGGGAAGCCTTCCCCTATTTCACCGGTTTCTAGTTTTAGTCGCTAATGAGGTGCCCATAGTGTGTCCTCGGGGTTCTCGGCGTAGGTAGAAAGGCGTCAGCGGCAATAGCTGGGTCACTTTTCAAGCCCCCCTCTCTATTTCCCATTGTACACCTGGGTCACTGACAATGGAAGCTTCCCCTCCCCCCACGTCTGACTCTCGTCCCCTACTCCCCAATTTAGCTCCATTTATTTGAAGTTTGCAGATTTCTGGTGGCGCGCATTCTGCGTCGCTGGCCTCCCAGGTGACCCCCCCCCCCCGGAATGGCACCGTTTCCCGTCAAGAAGCCGCGGGGCTAACTTGCCAGGGCTGGCAAACCTTGGAAATTTGGGAGAAATAGCTCTCCCTCCTCTTAGCCTAAGTCCCCCGTCCCCTCCTCCCGGCTACCCTAAGCACGCCAAGGGCCATTTTCGCGCGGCTCCACTTTGGGGTTTTCCAAAGTATTTTAATGATCTAGTAAAGGAGCAGCCGCGCGCCTAAAGCGCCGGCTCGAGCCGCCCAGCTCTCAGCGTGGAGCCCCAGGCCCGGCGCTCGGAAGCTACACTGTGCGAGAGGGAGGACCCGGGGCGGAGCGGGTGGGCCGGGGGCGGGGCGGGTGGGCCGCGGAGGGAGGCGGGGAGCCGGGCTGGAGTAGGCGAAGGGGGTCTTGGTTGGAGCCTAGCGGGAGGGCGGCTCAGGGGGAGGGGGAGATAAGGGCTGGGCGGGCGCGGGCCTCGAAGGGGGGAGGCGAGGAGCAGATAAGGGAGAGAGACGTGGTGGGAGGGAGCACGCTGAGCTCGGCTCAGGGGTCCGAGCCCCCTCCTCTCCGACGGTGCCGCAGCGCCCCCCCTCCCCAGTGGTCCACGCCGCGGGGAGCGCTGGTCAAATCCCCTTCCTCGCTGGGGCCAGGACACCACAGCGCCACCTCCCGATTCGTGACCTCTACACACACCTACGGGAAAGGGAGGCTTGCGCCCCTGGACTCCCCGAATTCGCCCGCGGGAACAGAGACAGTGGCTCCGTGGAAGCGGCAGCAGCTGGGACTGCCGCGGCCGGGCGCTGACAGGGCGTCCCTCCCGGGCCGCCCCGGGCCCGCCCTCGCGCACGCCGATTGGCCGCGGCGACCATCCATCGCGGGACGTTGACGCCCGCTTCGCTCCCTCGCCGGGGTAGCCACGTTCGGTTGAGCTCCAAGTAGACCAGCGGCAGCGGCGGCGGCAGCGGTGCCGGAGGCGCAGAGGGTGGCGCA